CTTATCGGAAGAGCGGCGGTCTTTTCATGTCCCCTTTCATCGGTGCCGGCGCATAATCTCCCTCGTATGTTTCCGAGTCGCTCCGCTCCGGAGGCTTTACGTCCCCCGTCTATATGGCCTAGTTTGCTGCAGTTTATATATAGAAATCTCATCATCTCGTTCTGCTGACATGGGCCGTCCTTCCCAGGCCCGTTCTGTGCTGGAAGTCGCCGCTCTTAGATATCCGGATACGTCGGAAGTTTGGAAAAAACTTTCTAAAACTGCAACTTTCAGGACACTTTGGGCTTAAAGGGCAACTCCACCTGATTGTTTTTTTTTTAACCCCGTAATGACGAAGGTAGAACAAACCTTAAAGGAGAACTATGAGGGGGGGAGGGGGGGGTGCTTTTCACTCACCTCATAGTTCTAGCCGACCTGTGACAATGAGACTGTCACAGGTCGGCTCAGTAGATCGGGAGGGGAGCGAACACATACCGGCATTCGCTCGCTTCTCGATCCTGTCACGGCTCTCTGCCGTGACAGGGGAGGGGCTGGATTCCCCCCTCTCCGCTCCGATCCTCCAGCGCTGACTGGCGGAACGGACGAAGGAAGGGGGCGGGTACAGCTGGCTCTGCCTCTAGATAGGCGGAGCCAGCTGTCACTCACGCAGCTGGGCGGATCTCGACATCGATGTCTGAATCCGCTCCGGCTGTCCCCTGTTATCAATGAACAGGAATCCTTTATGAGTGTTCCCGTTCATTGATAACAGAGTATGTTTACTATAACCACAATCATGAATGAACAGGAAGTGATGTAGATCACTTCCCATTCATTCAAAATTGAGGATACAGTAACCATACCATGTCCTCAATTATTTACAAACACTGATCGCTGTTTGTTCTCGCTCTCCTCTCTGACACGCTGTCACAGGAGGCTTAGTGAGCGGTGCAGGGAGAAGAGCTCTGCCTCCTGCGACAGCGTTGGCTGTCTCTGCCCCCACACCGCTCTGCCGGACTGTGAAAGGCGGCTGAGCGGGGTGGGAGGAGAGTCACCGGCCGCTCACGGCGGTCTCCTCCCTGTCGCTTTCTCTCCTCCCCGCTGGGACAAATAGCAGCGCCCAGCGGGGGAGGAAAGAAATCACGGCTGCGCCGACAAAACGGCCGGGAAATGGCACTTTCGGCATTTAGCCAAAAGTGCCATTTTCGTCCGGCGCCCCCCTTCAGCTGTAGGCCGGGGGCCAGCGCCCCCGGAGGTTACGCCACTGGCGCCGATACCATTGTTTCCAGACTGAGTCCCGATACTTTTCCTCCAGTGCTCCCCGATACCGATTACTGATTGATTTTTTTTTTTTTGTGTGTCATGTGACATTTTTTCTAAAACAATGATTTTAGGACAGTGTTGGAGCGCAATGGCCCGGTCACAACTGCGACAGCTGCGACCCAGGTAGTTCTGCCACTGACTCCAAGCTGTAGAGGGACTACAAATCCCAGCAATACAGTATACAGCAATGCAGAACAATACTATCAGCTATACCGGACTCAGTCCTGTGATCTCTGTGAGAGATAAAAAATACCTGGAAGTGTTGCAGTCACCTAACACGAGCGATTCATCTGACGCTCCGCCCACTTCAAAGCGTTCTAGATTCGCTTATCATTATTGTGGAGTGAAATGTGCGAGCGAGCGACCCCTGAACGCGGACTCTGAGCGGCCCTGCGGACAGCCCCTGGGCTTGCTGCTGCTCCTGCTTGCCCTGCTCTGCCCTCTCCAGCGGGGTATACGGGGTTAATCTGCTGCAGTGCGGGGCTGCGGGCACTGAGGCTTGTCACCATTCATCATGGTGTGCCAGCGATCACAGGCCGCCCGTCGCTTCCCCTCTATCCGAAGGTCACGGCTCGGGGCGGGAGAGAAGAAATGTAAGGAGGAGATAAAGTTCGACTTAATATATATACAATGTGTGCACAATTATCAGTATTTTGACCAAATCTCAATTTTTATGCAAATTTTCCCACTCCGAGATGTGTAAATTTGAAGGCTGATTGGATGACTCGGACTCGGACGTCACCTTTCTTCCCCCCCCCGCCCCCCTCTGCCAATCCCTCCACTGGCTTCCATCCATCCACCCCTCTGC